CAGAAGAAAGGATATCAGAGATTGAAGATCAACTCAATGAAATAAAAAGAGAAGGCAAGACAAGAGAAAAAAGAGTGAAAAGAAATGAACAAAGCCCCCAAGAAATATGGGATTATGTGAAAAGACCTAATCTACGCTTGATTGGTGTACTTAAATATGATGGGAAGAATGAATCCAAGCCGGAAAACACGTTCCAGGATATTACCCAGGATAACTTCCCAAGCTTAGCAAGGCAGGCCAACATTCAAATTCAAGAAATACAGAGAACTACACAAAGATATTCCTTAAGAAGAGCAACCCCAAGGAACATAATCATCAGATTCACCAGGGTTGAAATGAAGCAAAAAGTGCTAAGGGCGGCCAGAAAGAAATGTCAGGTCACCCACAGACAGAAGCCAATCAGAGTCACAATTGACCTCTTGGCAGAAACCCTACAATCCAGAAGAGAGTGGGGCCAATATTCGACATCCTTAAAGAAAAGAACTTTCAACCCAGAATCTCATATCCAGCCAAACTAAGCTTCGTAAATAAAGGAGAAATAAAATCCTTTATGGACAAGCTATTACTGAGAGATTTTTTCACCACCAGACCTGCCCTACAAGAGCTCCTGAAAGAAACACTAAGCACAGAAAGGAACAAGTACCAGCCACTGCTGACGCAAACCAGTTGGCAAAGACCAAAAACGCAATGAAGAAAATGAGACAACTAACGGAAAAGAAAACCAGCTAGTAACAAAATGGCAGGATCAAATTCACACAATATTAACATTGAATGTAAACAGCCTAAATGCCCCAATCAAAAGACACATACTGGCAAACTGGATAAAAAGTCAAGATCCATTGGTGTGCTGTATTCAGGAAACCCAACTCACATACAAAGACACACATAGACTCAAAATAAAGGGATGGAAGAAAATTTACCAAGCAAATGGAGAACAAAAAAAAGCAGGGATTACAATCCTAATCTCTGATAAAATGAACTTCAAACCAACAAAGATCAAAAAAGACAAAGAAGGACACTACATAATAGTAAAAGGATCAATCCAACAAGAAGAGCTAACTATCCTAAATATATACACACCCAACACAGGAGCACCCAGATACATAAAGCAAGTTCTTAATGACCTAAAATGAGATTTAGACTCCCACACAATAATAGTGGGAGACTTCAACATTCCACTGTCAGTATTAGACAGATCAATGAGACAGAAAATTAACAAGGACATCCAAGACTTGAATGCAGAGCTGGACCAAGCAGACCTAATAGACATGTACGGAACACTTGACCCCAAATCCAGAGAATATACATTTTTCTCAGCACCACATTGCACTTACTCTAAAATTGACCACAGTATTGGAAGCAAATCTCTCCTCAGCAAATGCAAAAGAACAGAAATCATAACAGTCTATCAGACCACAGCGCAATCAGACTAGAACTCAGGATTAAGAAACACACTCAAATACGCACAAACAGTTGGAAACTGAATAACTTGCTTCTGAGTGTTGACTGGATAAATAATGAAATGAAGGCAGAAATAAAGATGTTCTTCAAAACCAATCAGAATGAAGACACAACTTACCAGAATCTCTGGGACACCTTTAAAGCAATGTTGAGAGGGAAATTTATAGAGAAACAAGGAAAGATCTAAAATTGACACCTTATCATCAAAATTGAAAAAGCTAGAGGAGGAAGATCAAAAAAACTCAAAAGCTAGCAGATGACAAGAAATAATGAAGGTCAGAGCCAAACTGAAGGAGAAAGAGACACAAAAAAAAAACCTTCAAAAAAATCAATAAATCCAGGAGTTGGTTTTTTGAAAAGATCAGTAGAATAGATTGACTGCTAGCCAGACTAATAAAAAAGAAAAGAGAGAAGAATCAAATAGATGCAATAAAAAAAGATAAAGTGGATATTACCACTGATCCCACAGAAATACAAACTACCATCAGAGATTGCTACAAATAGCTCTATGCACATAAACCAGTAAACCAGGAAGAAATGGATAAATTTCTAGACGCTTGTACTCTACCAAGACTAAACCAGGAGGAAGTTGAAACCCTGAGTAGACCAATAAAAAGGGCTGAAGTAGAGGCAGCAATCAATAGCCTACCAACAAAAAAAAGTCCAGGTCCAGACGGGTTCACAGCCGAATTCTACCAGATATACAAAAAGGAGCTGCTTCCATTCCTTCTGAAACTGTATCAAAGAATACAAAAGGAGGGAATCCTCCCTACCTCATTTTATGAGACCAACATCATCCTGATACCAAAACCAGGCAGAGACTCAACTAAAAAAGAAAACTTGGGCCGATAACCATGATGAACATCGACGCAAAAAATCTTCAATAAAACACTGGCAAACCAATTACAACAGCACATCAAAAGCTTATCCATCACGATCAAGTAGGCTTCATCCCGGGGATGCAAGGCTGGTTAAACATATGCAAATCCATAAGCATAATCCATCACATAAATGGAACCAAAGACAAAAACCACGTGATTATCTCAATAGATGCTGAGAAGGCCTTCG